GAGCACAAGCGCGAGAGTCCTAGGCGGGGCCGGATTAGGAGACGTAGGCGAGGGCATGCACGCGCGGGGTACAGGCAGCAACGACGATAGGCGCGCGACAGTGCGCGAGTACGAGGCAAGCGCGGGCGACCCAATCCTAACGGGCGTAGGAGTGCTGGACGCGGGAGCGCGCGCGCGACGCGTACAAGGACGCACGCATGGAAGCGGCCGAGAGTTTTGAACATGTGGGATTTTAGGACATTCTAGATTTGCTTGGTGTGCAAGCCAAGCAATAGTTATTTGGTAGCTTTAGGATTTTATTGCTTTCTAGAGATAGGATTTCTATTCTTGCAATAATTAGGAGATCTAGTATAGTTAGGCATAGATTTATTTCTGCACCTATAAATACCCCATGTACCTCATCATATTTGACATGTGGAATGAAGTATTGAATTGGTGAGCCAATCTTGAGGGGGAACTGATGTTCTTAACGTATGTCTAAACAAGGCCGTTAGTGCGTATTTACATACAGTGTCGGAGAGAAGGCCAATAGTGCGTCTTGAAGTCACGGTGTCTAGGAGAAGGCCGCAGTGCGTCTGTTAGACACGTCTATCGTGGATAAACGAAGGCCCAGAGCGCGTTTATTCACAACAATCGTATAAACAGAAAATCGATCCGTCATCATTGGTGCTTTCATTGAGAGGTGCTGATCGATTTTTTTGTCTATCTTATCTTTTTATTTTTTTCGGTTTGCCTTTTGCTGAGGGGCCGAATTTCTCTTTATTTTTGTTGGGATTCGAATTTATTGTTCGAATTTTCCCTTTAAATTTTCGAATTTGAGTCGAAAAAAAAAAAAAAAGTGTCATCTTGTTAGTCCTTTGTTTGATTTTTGTTCGGTTATTACCTTTTGTTGAGGGGCCGAATTTTTTTTTGGTTCGAATTTTTTAGTCTTGTTGGGGGTTCGATTTTTTGAATTTTTCCCCTATTATTTTCGATTTTTTTAGAGTCTTAAAAAAAAAAAAAAACTAATTATGTCTTACCCACCAATGGATGAGTTGGATTGGGAAGATCTGGAGATGTTGGAAGGATTGGAAAGGGAGCTCACACCTTGGGAGAAAACATATCTTGACGAGCTTCATGAGCGAAGGAACATTGAAGAGTACGAACGTCAACTCATGGAAGCTCGAGAAGTAATGGTGATCGATGCTCATGACCACGAAGATGAAGGTGCACTTAATTTCTTAATCCTTGAGGACAAGGAAAGTCTCGAAGAGGAGGGGAATGATACGGAAGTGGTCATCAAACCAGGCGAGTCGGAGGATGAGGGTGGCGATGGT